AAATAAATATCTAGCTGAGGCAAGTTTTCCTAAACTGACTGAGGATCAGAAACATGAAATTAATGGCTTAATTACTAAGGAGGAAATTGCCTCAGCAATTCAACAATTGAAACTAGGGAAAGCACCGGGTACGGATGGGTTAACAGCTGTTTATTATAAAGCTTTAATGGAGGAGATGATCCAACCATTAAATGATCTTTTTAATGGTATCTTACAGGGTTTAGAGATTCCTCCTTCATGGCGTAGTGCCTTTATATCATTGATTCCAAAGGAGGATCAAGATCTTACTTTACCAAAAAATTATAGGCCTATATCTCTTTTAAATGTGGATTATAAGATATTTGTAAAAATCTTGGTAAATAGGCTTATGAGGGTGGCGTATCATCTTGTGCATAAAGATCAATCAGGGTTTATAACAGGAAGGTATATGAAAAATAATGTTAGACAAATTATTAATCTATTAGAATATTTAGACAAGAACAACCAAGTTCCTGCAGGGCTCATATTTTTAGATGCTGAAAAAGCATTTGATCAATTGAATTGGCATTTTATGTTAAGAGTAATGGAAGAAATGAATTTTGGCGAAAAGATATTACAAGCTCTTACGGTAATATATCAAAAACAAATGGCACAACTTATTGTTAATGGAGGTTTGTCGGAGGTTTTTACAATAGAGAAAGGTACTAGACAGGGGTGTCCTTTATCGCCATTGTTGTTTGTTTTAACACTGGAAATATTATTGATCAAAATTCGAGAGTCTCAGGAAATTAAAGGAATAGAAGTTAACAAAAAAGAATATAAGTTGAGAGCTTTTGCGGATGACTTGGTTGTTACTTTGTCGCAACCTGATTATTCTGCAGTAAACTTATTACAGTTGATTTATCATTATGGTCTGGTTTCGGGTTTTAAGATTAATGTAAATAAGACTAAAATCTTACCTAAAAATATGTCTAGTCAGGAGAAGCAGATTTTGGCTAACTTGACGGGTTTTGAGATTGTTAATAAGGTAAAATATTTGGGGGTGATGTTGTCTGTTTCTAATGTAAAATTATTTAAAAATAATTATGAAAGGTTGTGGGTCAGGGTACAGAAGGACTTGAAGAATTGGGAGAAGTTGCAATTATCCCTCATGGGAAGAATTGCAGTGATAAAAATGAATATTCTACCCAAGTTTCTTTTTTTGTTTCAAATGTTACCGATTTTGAAAAATGAGATTAATTTAAGTGAGTGGCAGAAGGGTCTTAATAAATTTATTTGGGCAGGGAAAAAGCCAAGGGTTAAGTTTAAAATTATGCAAGACTTCCGTGAGAGGGGTGGACTTAAGGTACCAAATTTGAAATTATATTACGATGCGGTGGTCTTAACACTAATCAGTGATTGGGTAAATTTGACAAATCCTGAGATACTTCATTTAGAGGGATGGGATTTACTTTATGGGTGGCATGCCTATTTAATATTTAATAAAAAAATGGACTGGGTCTTTAAATCTCATATTTTAAGAATTTCCTTACTTAGGATTTGGAGAAAATATTATAAAAGTGATTTTAAAGTTCCATTATGGGCTATACCTTGGCATGCGATAGAAGGAATAAAAAGAGGAGTAAAAATGGACATGGTGTCTTATAGTCAGTTACTTAGATGGGATGGGCAAAACTGGCAGTTAAGATTACGGGAAGATTTAGCGCAAGAAAATATTATTTATTCTTGGTTTCAATATAGGCAACTAGTAGATAAATGGAAGGTGGATTGTAAATTGGGTTTTCTTAGAGAAGATGGAAATCTTATTAAGCAAGTCAAGGATCAAAGACAAACCCATATCAAGAGAATTTATGGGGTATTAGTTGAAATGGACTCAGAAACGGAATTAATTAAAGATTGTATGATTAGATGGGCGCAGAATTTTGGTGTCCCAGTCTCATTGGACATTTGGGAAACCATTTGGGTGAGAAATGTCAAATTTACACAAGCACAGAACCTTAGGGAGAATTTTTATAAAATGTTTTATAGATGGCACCTTGATCCACAAAAAATGTCTCTTATGTACCCTGACGTGCAACCCAAATGTTGGAGATGTGGTTATAAGGATGCTTCCTATTATCATATTTGGTGGTCATGCAGAGAGATAAAAGCATTTTGGATCAAAATATGGTGGAATATCCAGAGAATTTTTAGAAGGAGGGTAAAATTTACTCCGCAATTATTTTTGTTAGGCATTGTTATAGATTGTGATACAAAGGAGGTTGTATTGATGTTAAATTTGATTACAGCCGCTAGGCTGTTAGTAGGACAATATTGGAAGAAGGAATCTTTGCCTACATTGCAGGAATGGTTTCTTAAAGTAGCTTATCTGGCGGAAATGGCAAAGATTTCGGCTTTCTTAAAGCAACAAACGCAAGAGAAGTTCCTTGCTGTTTGGGACAAATGGATAAAATTTATACAATTTAGATTGGGTATACAAAAATATCACATAGCTTTTTTATAAGTTTTATTTATATATATATATATATAGATATTTTATTTTATTTTTTTTTATATATATATAAATATAAATTTTTTAATTTAATTTTTTATTTTTATTTCTTAATTTTTAATTAAGCCTATATTCTGCTCTGGGAAGCTCAGGGGGGGGAAGGGAGGGTTTTTGTGCGGGGTGGGGGATGGGTTTTTTTTTTTTTATATATATGTAATGTTTAGTTTCTTTTTTGTATATGTTGTCTTTTGTTTTGTATTGTTTTTGTTTTTTTGTAAAATTTATAAAACTTTCAATAAAAAAAAAAGAAACAATGAACTGAAACTAATCAAAGAGAGAAGCAACCTGCAATTAAGGAGAAACTTCCTAACAACAAGAACAATTAACCAGTAGAACAGCTTGCCTTCAGAAGTTGTGGGGGTTTCATCACTGGAGGTTTTAAGAAGAGAATGGACAGTCACTTGTCTGAAATGGTATAAGATCTCCTGCTTCAGCAGGGGGTTGGACTAGAAGACCTCCAAGGTCCCTTCCAGCTCTATTCCGATTGACTGATTGATCGATTGAGTCAAAAGCTTGAAGATAATTTTACTCATTGCCAATTCTGACTTGGGCTATTTCAGATGACTGTTTCAAAATCTTGCTATTTTCCCCAAAACATTATCAAATATATCAGAACTGGAAAGGAGACATGAAGTATGGACATAAATAATATCATCAGCATACAGTATAACACTAGCTCACATTCTAAAAAGTTATGCTATAAACATTAAATATTGTAATCTTGTTAATACAACATGCTAATGATTTCAAACAGCTATTTAAAATAAAAGGAGGAAATGGGCATCCTTGTCTATTGCCTTTATCAATAAAAATGGATTAAAATGAAGAAGGTACATTTGAATACAGATCCAATGTATAAACTCTTCAGAAAGTCTTAAATTAGCTACAATACTGAACATACATTGCTGAAAATTTTTGCCAAAGGCTTTTCCAGCATTCAGTGATATAATCACAGCTTGATATTCTCTATCGTTATTCAAATCAATCTGATTTACTGTAAATAAAATATTGTTTGATCCATGTCAATCCTTAAAAAAATCTAACCTGATCATTGTTGATCACTAAGGATAATGCCTTTTGTTAGAACTCTTATTTGCTACAACCGCTGTTATATCTTGATACCTGTATTGGTCAGGGCGATAAGCCTAAGTTGAACATATATGATGTTTGCCTTGCAAGATTCACTAAAAAATAACAAAATGTCTTCTTCCAAAATATTATTATATAAAAAGTAATATGACTAATGCTGGGAAAGGTGGAAGGAAAGAAAAGGGAATGACCAGCAAGATGAATGGCCTTAGTTGAAGTGGCAATGAGTGTGCAGTTGCTGAAGTTCCAGATTTGGGATAGGTCAGGGGTAGGCAACCCAAAACACTCAAAGAGCCACTTGAACCCGTTTCCCACCAAAAACAAAACACCGGGAGCCGCAAAACCCTTTTGATATCTAAAATGAAGATAACACTGCATATATGCTTTTTTACCTTTATTATAGGGGTGTGTGCATGTGTGTGTGTGTATGTATACACACACACACATATTAAAAATAAAAGTAAAAATATGACTCTTGGGAATATCCATACTATTAAAACAATGATCACCAACAGAATGCTTTAATGCTTTAAGAGAATAAAATTACATACACACACAGGTAAAAAAAGGATATATGCAGTGTGATCTTCATTTTAGATGTCAAAAGGGTCTCTCTCTCCCTCTCTCTGTCTCTCTCTCTCCCTCCCTCTCTATCTGCCCTTGGTCTACCAGTCCTCTTCCCCCACTCTCTCTCTCTCTCTCTCTCTCTCTCTCTCTCTTTCTCCCCCCCCCCCAATCTGGTGCTCACCTGGCAAGCTTCAAGCTGTTGTCCAACAAGCTCAGGGATAGAAAACCTCGTCTCTTTTATGACTCATGGACTTCAACTCCCAGAATTCCTGAGCCAGCCTAGCTGGGCTAGCTAGCTCTCTCCTGCCCTTCCTGCTTCCTGCTTCCTGCAGAGACGCAGCAAAGGGAGGAGCTCCGCCCAGTAAGCTTTTCAGCTCCTCGGAGAATAATGTGAGTGCACTCTCTTTTACACATACACACACACACACACACACAAAACACACACACACACACACACACACACACACACAGAGAGAGAGAGAGAGAGAGAAGCAGGGAAGCGCAATTGCCTCTCTCTGTCTCTGTCTCTCTCTGCAAAGGCAGAGGAGGCTGGGAGCCACAGGGGAAGGCTCAAAGAGCCGCATGCGGCTCCGGAGCCGCAGGTTGCCGACCTGTGGGATAGGTCATCGTGTAGAAATGTGGCCTCCAGGATACACAAACAACTTGATGGCACATATTCAATTAATGTAAGTTTAAAAACAGCTGTGCCAGAAAATACTTTGTATCATTCATCAGGAAATCCATCCTGTCCATGTACTTTACCATTACTCAAAATTAGGATCACAGTTTTAATATAATTAATAATCAAAGGGGCTATTCTTGTAAAGATTTAATTGTGAGAGATTATTTTAACAACAAAAAGTCTACTTTCATGAAATACAGACTGACTATACAGCTTTGAGTACAGTTTAAGATATTGGAATCTTACATTTTCAGAGAAATTAATACCGTTAAGTTATTTTTCATATCTTTAAAAGGCATATTAAAACTTTCATTGTTTTTCTTGAAATTACTTGGCAGATCTGTCATCATTTCCCCAATTTTGGTGTACATATATTAAAGCAAATTCAGATCTCTCTAATATTATTTAGGTTAAGTTTATATCTCTCTACACTGATAGGAGTGCTAACTATCTGAGCCTAAAGAATTTCCATTTTATTTTTTTATATTGATTGCAATATTTTTTTCTCATCTGATGCATATGTAACAATATGGACACAAGTGTAGGACTTATGTCCTATATTAAAAAATTAAAGAACTAGCTGTACTTGCATTTAATTCAAAATACTGCAACGTGTCAGAATTATGATCAGAAAAATAAACTGGTAATGACAAGATATGATGGATAGATTTGACATCCTAGCAATAGCTGACATTGATTCAGTTATTCTAATTCAGAATAAAATTGTATACACTGTGTTTATAGTACAGTAGATTTTTTAAAAAATGATTGACATTCATATTAAGCAATTGTTGAAGTGTGCCATTTTACTTACAGCATTATAAAGTCAACCGTTTAACCAACACTTTAATTTCATTCCAATCAAAATACATTAACATTATTATAGTCTGTGTTTTAAGGTTTTTTTTTTTGAAGAGACCCATTGCTTTTATATCTATAAAATTACAATCTGAAGTATGATCTGAACTATCCAAAGTGAACATGATGGAAATTATAGAGAAATGATTTAAAATAAGATCCTAATAGTCTTAAAACAGGATACCATCTAACATGAATCTGCAGGGTCCCTGCTACCTGATATTCACCAAACAATCCCTTTGGTACATTACTTCTATGTAAATATGCAAGTTTTATTGTCAATAAATACATTTTTTCATATGTATATAGTTTGTATTTTCATTTCATGCATGAGAAATAAGAATATGTTTATGGTGCAATTTGTGTGTGTGTGCCCAAGTGCATATTATATATCTATATATAATTTATATAATTACCCATCTTATGTTTCATAACCCTGGGCAGCTTACAAACAATATGCATACGTGTACAACACATAGACATACCAATCACATTCACAAGTATGAAAGTTTCGGTTTTATTTTCTATTGCACCATATACATTCTCTGATCTCTGCTCTCCAAGCTCCATTTCACTCCCTTTGATTTTTAATATTAATATAGCTGTCAGATTAAATTTTACTCTGTTGACACAATTTTATTAGGTTGGCATTAGTTATTTAGGATTATTATTACAATTTTGAATTTCATTAAAAAAAGTCTAAGTGTTTTGTAAATTTCATTTATGCATTTTAATATATTTATGAGCCTATATGACAATCTCATTATTTAATGTGAATGTTCACAATAAAACAACTTCACTAAGTTAGCACTGGTATAGAACAACCTGTACACAGTTATATAAAGAAATTTGTCATATTTTATTGAATAGTATTTTTTGAGATACCCCTTTTGATATCAAAATAACTTACCCGAAATAATTCTTTATTTTATTTAATATAATATTGATTTACAAAAACAGTAGTTCCAGTAAACATTTAAAATTATTTTGCTATCTTGAATTTTACCTATAACAGAGGTCCAGTTTTTGACAATAGAAATTAATTCTTCCAAAAGGCAGTTTAGTTTTAAAATGTTCTCACAATACAGAGTGCATTTGTTTACTGTCAAAACACCACACCTGTGAACATAACAATAACAGAATGGAAAGATACGAAGCTTGCAAGTTACATTTTTTTTTTCTTGAAGGACTGCTGGGTCACAACGATGAAGAAAAATATTTACGCAAGTCATTAACAGTCATAATTAGAGTGTCATATAAATTGGAGTGAAGCTGCTAAGTTGAAATCACTAGAAGTCCAGGTGCTTCTTGCCCATGGCCATTGCACTACATTCTGTGCTCAGCAATTTGGCGGAGGCTGCCAGATCCTGTTTGCTTGTGCGGCTCACTGTGTCTGACAAGTCTGGAGGCAAATGCAATCGCTGTGGCAGGAGATTTTCAGTGGGGGGAGGGAAGGGGAGGGGAAAGAGGGAGGAAGAGAGGGGGGGGAGAGGGAAGAGGACAGAGGGGACAAAAAGAGTGAGAACTATAATGAATTTTTATTTAAATATTACTTATTTCAAATATAGTTCTGCTTCTCCCTGCCAATGAGCAAAACATTTGAATGATTTCTCCCCTTAACTGTTTCTCAAATCATTAAGCATATGTCATATATTTCTCTACAAAATTCTGCTATTTTCCACTCAGCTTTATTTTTTTCTCTCAAGTTCTTTCAAAGTTCACAGTCAAACCTGAGATCCAAATTGGTTAAAAAAAAAAGTAAAGGATGCTGTTGAGTTGAGCAAAACTTCATAGGAAACTAATTCCATAAGGCCAAGATAAGTCCTTTACAATACAATTCAAAAGATGTACAGTATATTTAGACATTAATCCTACTGTATGCCTGGGGATTATTCTCTAACATGGGAATTATCCTCTAGTGATTTCAATGTATTCCCAGACCCTCATATGTAATTCCCAAATGAAGTCAATATGGCCTAATTTTAATACATATGCACAGGATTAAATCACAGGTTTTATTTTGTTCCCAAAATAAAAAACAAATTGTTTCAATTTCAGTTTGCATTGACAATGAATGTTCAGTTTTTATTCAGAACAGTAAAACTGAATACAATTTGATTGAATGAAGATAACTTCCCTCCAGTTACCAAACCAGTATTCTAACCTAAGTGCATTGTCTCTACTTTTATTTTATTACTGATAACATGATTTACTTCCCACCAGAAGTAGGTATGAAGCAATATGAAGAATACTCTCACTTTTGTACACAAGTTAGAATTCAAAGGAACAAAATTCTTGCTATTTCTTGGTACTTGGGTTTGTGTTTATTAACAACAATTCATCCATACCATATGATAAGGAGTCAGAGACTTTCAAAGGAACATTTAATTTGAAATGAAAATAAGTAATTGAAAGAAAATGAAAACATAAAATAAATTATCCCCACTGGAGAAACTTCATTATGTAAGATTCAATAGGAAAAGTGACTATGCTTATGGTGTTTCAATAACGACAGAAACATATTAAGTCTAATCTTCAGTTTTACAAGTCAGAATCAGTTAGGCTTTAATGTGTGTGGTTATAACAATAAACAATTTTAATAATAATTCTAAAAGATTATTATAAGATGATCTCAGAAAGAGAGGCTAGAACTTAAGCAATATATGAATTGGTGTATGGATTTGGTGAGAGTATGGATGTTGATAAGAACAGAAAAATGCTGGAATATATAGTGAATGGTGTTGCTACATACCAGATTTAAATTAGACCCCGTTTTCTCTTATTTTCTCCTTTTTTCTTATTTTCTACCTTTAATTTACCCCCTCCCCCACTTTTACTCTCTTTTCTTCACACAATATTGCTTATTCCAATGTGAATTGCATGATGGTGCATACATGTATGCATTCAATATATATTGTGACATATTTCACAAAGTTAAAGAAATTAGAACTAGAAATCATTTGCATACATAATTTATACCAGCACATAGTAAATTAACCCTCGGATAAGCATTTTCTCTCATTATTACCTTTATCCTTCTTAACAACTGGTATTGCATATTCTGGACTGTTATAAAAATATTTATTGATGGAATTCCCATTTGTGTGGAGAAGTCAAATGAAATTTCCAGGTGAAGCAATCCAACGGGGATTGTTGTAATTGACCAAAAGGTACACTATGAACAAATATATTTTGAGTCATGCATCGCATCCATAGATAGATCAAGTAGCGCGGAGAACTTGTAATCTGGATAAAATCACTTCAGAAGAGAAACCAGAAACCTCATTGCTCTGAAAACTGCCAACAGTACAACAGTCATTTGAGGTATGTCCTTAGATAAGGTATTTTCCAACTGATCACTAAGGCCTCTGAGTCACAGTGATTATTGGCACAAGTGGTGAAAAGGGGTAATCCCACAGCAGGCTTGGAAGAAACATTCTCCTGTAGAATGACTGAATAAAAAATGGGAGGTAGAAGTGAAGACAGTTTGAATTCAGATGAGACTGCAAGATAGACAGGAACCAATGTTGCAAGACTCTCATGTGCAGCCTTGTGAAAGAGTCTATTGTGGTTTACAATCCGCAATACTTGGTTCACACATTGCAGTAAACATAGTGTAGTTTGCTTAGTTTTGACTTAGCTTGATGTGTGAACTCAGCCATAGTCTTTGTTCACCAAAAATAAAAAAAAGGAAAAGGGGGGAATGTTAAAAGGCCCTTGACTGTGACTTGGAATGAGTAACTAGGTGCATAATAATAGGAAGGCTCTGTCACAGCGTGTATTGATCACACTAGAGAGAAAAGCATTCACTTGGTTACATTTTTTAAAGTTGTTTTATATTAGAAAGGGAGGAAAGCACACCAGAGTACAATCTGTTCTCAATATTTTGAGCATAAATAAGAATTGCTTAGAGGATAAGCAAAGGCTTTGACAAATACAAGAAAGAAAATAAAACATCTAATAACCTTTTCTGTTTCAATAAGTTGTTGCTGCTGATCTAAAACTTTCACAATGTTAAAAAAGAGTATTGCTTTAAAATAATTATCTCAACATAAATGTATATACTTTTGACTAATATTATTTTTATTATATATTTTGTTAGATTCTACAACCAAACATTATTTACTTAATCACAATGAGTTGATTCAAAATAAGCAATATGCTTACACTACACTATGTTACACTACAATACGATCAATTTAAAAAGTAAATCTAAAGTGTAAAACTACGTATGAAATGTCTGCACATGCCTGTATTGTCAGTTACACTTGAATTTCAAATTAGAATTATATGAAAATACTGTATGAGAAGCTTTCATGCTATCTAACTTATTTTTAAACTATTATACAACAGCAGAAGAATAAAATAAAGCTTAAAACAAAGGGAAGAACTCCGCAGGCAATATAATTTTACTGCACTTCACTAATAGTCAGGCCAACTATTTACCAACAAATAGAATAATGCAATATAATCCACATTAATTAACTGCACTGAGTTCTCTTGTATCTATTTCAAATTCAATGGATTGAAAAAAAAGTTCTTAGTTGACAGCCTTAAACTATAATAGAAAGAGTCATTTATTTTAGAATATTAATCATTGTGAAGCCTCTTTTTATTGCATAGCGAACATCTAAAATCATGCACATAAAATGCAGATACAAAAGCTAGACAACCACTCAGCTTATAAAGCTTACAAATATGGCATTTGTTTATGCCAATATCTAATATATTGTATTTAATATGTTAAAGTTGTAATCATAAACACGCTTGCAAAAGATTTATTGATATTAATGAGATTTAGGAACAAAGAGTAAGGCTATGAATCTAAATATCTATTGCTGTCCATTACATACCACTAGTGTAAGTGAGCTAAATCATTGCACCACTATAGTCTGCTGAGTAGCTTTGAAAAGTACTCTTTGCCTCTTGACCTTAACTTCTTCTATTTGCTGGTAAGTTCCATTATGTTCATATTTTCAGAATATGTGGTCTTCAGATTACAATTGAAACAATGATAATGGCCATGAATCTGATTAGATGTATCTTAGGTAAGATACCGGAAACATTATACAAATAAATTCTGCTTAGGTATTTTTAAATGATACTAATATCCAAAGATATAAAGTTGGAATAACAACTATGACCCTGAGCTTCTGGGTTTGGGATTTGAAAGCCCTTTTTAATTCAAAACCCATTAAGAAGAAGCATGTTTAAAGATTCAATAACAAATATTGTTAATGAGGACTGTCCTATTGTTTTGTGCTAATGAATGCTTGAATATGAACATAATTACTCAAAAGAAAAATGTCTACACAGTTATAGAAAATTAGATCTTTTAATGCATTCAAGATACCTAGATTTAATGAGCTTATTAATTACTAAGAACAGCACAGATAAAAGAATCTTTGGCATACAAAATAAAGGTTTATGCCATTAGGCTGCCTAACTATTTTTCTACAACTATCTCTTTACCCATTACAGAAAAATAGGGCATCTATTCATATTTTATTTTTATGTTTTGTAAAGGCACAATATTGAAGCTATCACAAAAATCTTAGCAGAAATTAGTTTCTTAATACGCCATTGAAAATGTTATTTCAATTTATAAAATCAACTGCTTCATTGTTATTTTATATTTTTATTTGAACCTTAGCTCATTTTATTTATTATTTATGTCTCAATGTATGATTTAAAAAATAGAAAAGACGTATTTTAACATAAACTGTCAAAGCAACAGAAATGCTATTTTATATGTTGCTAATACTTCTAAATAGCTAGGACATTATAGAACCTGACACAGACTCCCTATCTATCTGAACCTCTGGTTTTAATTTTTTTTTTATTATAACAAGCACAGGGGATTAAAAAGGGAAACCACCAATGCCTGGATTACATTTGGCCCATACGTTCTATTTTTTTTTAAAACAAACAAACAAACAAACCAGCTGATATTTTAAAATAAAGTCACTTCGAAAAGCACCTTACCAATTACCATAACAGAGTATTTTCGGAACCATAAACAGTTTTTCATGGTGGTGAATAAAAAACAGATTTTGCTGGGAAACTGTTCCCGAATCTAATAATTATCCTCTTCATCCTCTTAATTCAGTCTTAGTGTTTTGCTGAGGAATGGGATGGGTGCCAGCAGTCGTCGTCAGGGGGATTACGGTTATATGAGTCTCCCATCAGGAGGCCAAGCAGCCTGCAATTACTAGAGAGCGGCCCTTTTGATTTAAAGGAAAAGTTTCAGAAATGGACTAAAACGTTGAATAATACACATGATTAGTAATTTGTAGCTGTGGATCAGGGGTTCCCCTCTACCAGAAGTGTTTGTTGAAAAAATAATAAAACCGACACCTGTGGGGAGTTTTAGTATTTCATTTTTCTCTTGATTCAATGGAACTTCTACAAAACTATTACA